CTCCTATCAACTACTTCGTGACCTAACCCGATGTACGTATTGCTAAGCAAAGGCGCACGCAGGATTTTACAATGAGGGAATGGGTGGTATGGGCACAAGTTTCAAATGAAAACCGAGTTAAGCGTGCGCTGGCTAATCTTGGGAATTCACCCTTGACATTTGAGCGCAATTCAGCGGCCGAAAAGCAGGAAATAATGAGCTTTTGTGGGAAGTTAAGTTAACCTTACCGTCTGAGGCCCCATCCAGTTCAAAAAACTAACACCCCTCATCGGCAGCAAAAGCAGTGTCCATGTCCGGCGAAAATAAACACGCCAGCAACACGTTCGAAGAGTACTAGATCCGTCTCATGACCACCACCCACGCCGCTTGACTCTGTGGAAAGAGGCGCCATGCTGTTTCCGCTCGCAAGCCAGCTGTCAGCCGTGTGAGGCTGGGCGGCCGGGCCGGCCCGGTGGCCTGGCCGGTGGCCGCTGAGTCCCGGCGGGAGTCCGCGCCGCCTGCCTCGAGCGGCGGCGGACGAGCTCGGCCGTGTCGACAGTGGCGCCAGCGGGGGCGGCAGCGGCGCGGAGGTGAACCACGGGAGGTTTCCTCTGTTCTGTAGGCGCTGGGGTCTTCCCTATCACCAAGCGGAAAGCTAAGGGGGTCATGACAAACTGTCTTGTTACAGCTTACGCAAAAGAATTGGGGCCGAGAGACCATTGCCTTTTATTATTTTTCTCACAAAAGCTTGATATCAACTCTGCAGTGAAACGTAGCAACACACCACCGCTGAAAGGAATAATTGGTAGTTACGACTCGCAGTTTTTCAAAGTGCAACAGTACATTTGAATCTTAGTAGATCTGTTCCCAACAGTCATAAAGGCCGCACGAAAGTTCCAAAATGCCACGAAGATTCGAGTCTCCAATCCAGTATCCTCCCAATGCACCCGATGCTTCACCCTTGGGTGCTGCGGCGGCTGTCCAGCGTAGAGTGGTCTGGTGGATGCCTAAAATATACTTTTTTCTCATTTAGTTGATCCAAGGATGATATGTTACAGCACTCAACGCCTCGGAGTCTTATACTACATGTATTGTCTTTATCGGAGACCTGACATTCCGTCGACCCGTCTCAGAGGCGTCCAATTTCCATTTCCTTCATTTGATCTGAATCGACTCCAATCCAATCGCGGCGGCGCCGTTCGGTCCCGACGGACCGGTCGTCGGCGCTGTCGTCGTCAGGGCCGGCCTGGCCTCCTCGTGCTCGCCGTCGCCAATGGCTTCCCTTCGCGCGCCGCGACCCGCCGTAATCGGTCGGCGGTCCCGCACAGTCCGCCGGCCCGATAACAGGCGCCTCTGCCCCGCTCTTCCCAGCGCCGGGCAGCGCCTACAATAACAAACAGGGCACCCGAGCCGGGATTATGCCCGACACACGGCGGATAAACAGAGCCGGCCCGGATAAGATCGGGGCGGCCGATCCGTCGGCCGTTTAAACACGGCCCGAGATGGTGCTGACATGGCCGCCGGTCGGTCCTGCCCCTTGGCACCAGCCGCCTTCTGAGCGACGTACCGCCACCGGGCGGCAAGCGAGCCCGGAACCGAGGGAGGTCGACCACGAACCACGCGCTTGCTGTAGGACTGACGTCATGCTGCGCGGCTATTACAGCCGCGCGTACATGTAGCGGAGGATCTTGCTTATGCTTGCGTTACCACGTACTTCTGTTATCCGCCTACTCACTTCTGTTATCGTGACAGTGTAACCGCGTCATGCAGATCATCTATCGTTTCGATAAATCGTCGCCCTTTGTTCCATGCTGCACGTACTGATAGCAAATGACGCGTGCTGTTTGACCGGGAAACGGGTTTCAGCCCCAACCCCGTCCCAGAGGCCTCCGCACCGTCCAGCACTCTTGGACCCCATTCCTCCGACCGTGAGAAAAACACAAAATATGCGCGTCACAGTACGTGACTGGCCTGCCAGGCCTCGCGCCGTGCCGTCCCGCTTCACCATTGTCGGACGCCGTGGAGCTTTTTTCCGTGGGGACCGATGTCCCGGATAGCTGGCGGCACGCGTCAATCGGTCGCCGCGCCGCAGTCGTCGCGTGCCTCCTCTCCAGCGGCGTCACGGCGCCTGCGGACATTTTGAGCCGCGACTGAACGGCTATGGCTTCACGCCTATCCCGGCTAGCACCGCTAAAAATCGGGCGTTTCCCATGGGCGAGGGCGGGCTCGTGAGAGGCGTGAAGCGTTCAACGTCGCCGTGGCTTTGTCATGGCGCCGGTTGACGCACGTTATTGGTGATTGCGCCGGCGCGGTGCGACATATGGTGCCTCGTCGCGGTGACCTGAGAGCGCTGATTCAAGGTCAGACCTTGGCCGCGCAGAGGTGATAACAGACCGCCTACCCACGTGGCTTGTGACGAAACGTGGTCAGTTTATTTACTGTATTTCATGTTGTGTAAATAACTTTTTGTTAAGTGACTCCAGCTTTGATCGACCACAACTATCTGGCCGCTTTGCAGGTCGGCGGTATTGTTTGCCAGATAGCGCGGAAAATTTGGGTCCACTCGTCGTACCTTGGGTTATATTGATAAAAAAACTAGCTAGAAAAGCCTCTTAACGTCTTCCATGTTCCCTTGAAGTTCGTAGCACATCCTGTCGGTTATTGGTGATGGCTGGCAAACCGCCGTTTCGCATGTCTCTTCTTGCGGCGGCAACGCGCCGCAAGGCTGACATTTTGGACCGCCTCATTGTCAGCCCTGTCTTGTCTGGCTCGTACCCGCAGTTTTCGTTCGCGCTGAGGTTTTTCGGCATCAGATAACTCCGGACTGTCGGTGGTTTTATGCATAAAACATCACGGCAAGGGCTCTTCTGCCGGTTTCAAGTGGCCGGATAATTAGAGCTGTTGGACCAGACTGCGCTAAAGCGGACCATCTTCTATCCAACGTATGGAGCCTCCTTCAACGGACATGATCAATGTACCACCCCGCCCTCCAATTACACTGGTATCTAATTATCATCCAAGGGGCCTGGGCGGCTCGAGGTCGAATCAGTCCGGGAGATCAGGACGCATCCTAATGTATTCGTGCGCTCTTCATGCTTGTCTAGTGAGAATCAGAAATAGCTCGCCAGGGCAAAGCTGTTCAGTGGGATTTACTTGATTGAAAACCGTTGCAGCTGTGCGCTGTTCAGTGTTCGTTGACCAAGTGCGTGCCTTTGTTGAGATGGGATGCAACAGCTCACCATTTGCTGGTAGGAGAAAGGGGAGTCGGTTGGCTTCGTGGGGGTGGGGGCGTTTGTGCCCCTTTGATTTTGTTTTATATAACACCTAAACGACTGGCGCTTGGAATCACAAGCTTTCAATGCACGCCAACAAATGTTGAAGACACCTTGTGTCAAAGAAACGGAGACCGAGTCAGTGTCGGTCGGGTAGAGATGCCATCCTGAATGGCTGGTATTTATAAGTTTTGATTTTCGAACTTGTGTCATGTTCTCTCATGTTTTCGGGGCTGCACTTAGCTTATGGCTTCTGGTTTATTTTATGGAGTCGTGGCACATCAACAAGATTGGCTCAATCTATTCTGCATTACAATGACCTCACAGACTGGCACATAGACGCATGTGCGATATGCTGCCGTTCCTCGTGTACAAATGTGCCATTCGGCAGCTACATAGTCTTTTGACTACCGGGAACATCGCGAAGCAAAATATCCGAGACTGTAAATGTCTACGCAATGTGGATGTTCCGACCAAATCGAAACAATTGCTTTGTTTCGCGCTGTTTTTCATAGCCCTTATAGCAATCGGCGCGAGCCGCGAAATGCCGTCTCACACGTATTTTCCCGTGCTGACCAACACCTGAGCGTCCAGAGAGCTCTTGATGACTTCAGGGCCTGAGACAGACATCCCCACAGAACACTCAACACCTGAGCATCAAGAGTGCTCTTGATGACTTCAGGGCCTGAGACAGACATCCCCACAGAACACTCAACACCTGAGCGTCCAGAGAGCTCTTGATGACTTCAGGGCCTGAGACAGACATCCCCACAGAACACTCAACACCTGAGCGTCCAGAGAGCTCTTGATGACTTCAGGGCCTGAGACAGACATCCCCACAGAACATTCAACACCCGAGCATCAAGAGTGCTCTTGATGACTTCAGGGCCTGAGACAGACATGCTCACAGAACATTCCACACGCCAGTGGCCGGCAGACCGACTGTCGAAACGCTCCCATTGGCAGGTATTGGCAGGTTCTGTCGTAGAAGGTGAGGTAGACCTACAGCATCAAAACATCGGTTTAATCTGACTGGACAACACATGAACGTTGCACCAGCGGTCGGTTATGGACAAGACACTATAAATGATGAACGCCAACGCCATCGATGGTTGGTGGTGAGTGGTAGAAGCCACACCACCGACAGTTGGTCATGGGCGGTAGTGACCACACCAGCGACAGTTGGTGATGAGCGGTAGTGGCCACACCAGCGACAGTTGATGGTGAGCGGTAGTGGCCACACCAGCGACAGTTGGTGGTGAGGGCTAGTTGCTGGTAAACAGTTTTCGGCGACCGCATCTGGCTCCTTCGTTTCGCTGCTGGGGTTTGACGCCATGCCTGAAAGGGACACACGAACTTCCCGAAGAAGCCAGGCGTAATTGTGTGACCGCGCGGACGGCGTGAGAGTGTCTTTGTTCGTCTGATTCGTAAACAAGCGACAGGCCACTAACCAGCAGTGGCCGATGTCTGTGCGTCATGTTTGTGACAGCTAGCCTGCGAAGCCTGTCATTTGAGGAGACCACCACCCCAGGGCAAATTGGTGCGCCTTATCGGCGGATCTCTATGGCCGTCTAGACATGGGATAATAAGCACTTTACGGCCGTAGAAAACACCGGCTGCCGTTGGCGGTAATCAAAGGCGTGTAAGATGGCAAATGATTGGCTGGTGCGTGAAATGACATCGGACAGCAGCGCGAATTTGCATTTCTCTGCTAAATGGTGACTGATGTGCACTTCTGTTTGGTTTCAGACTATGGTGCGGCTGGCACCTAACTACTGGCGGCCTCCGCTTCCCTGGCGATGAATTTCCACCTCCGTCCGCTGGTGGCGCTCCTGGCGCTGTCGGTCGCCTCAGGCGATGACCCCGTGGTGACCCAGGTGGACCTGAGCGGGGAGGTCAGCCGACTGACCCACCTGCGGGTCAGTCCGGGCTCGGGACAGGTCTATGTGGCCGGGGTCAACCGGATCTACCAGCTGTCGCCAGCGCTGGCCCGACTACAGGAGGTGGCCACCGGACCCCAGCAGGACAGTCCGCAGTGTCCCGCCTCCGGGTGCGCTGAAGGTGTCGAGACGGCGCCCACAGACAACGTGAACAAAGTGCTGGTGGTGGACCAGGAGACAAGGACGTTGCTGGCCTGCGGATCCGTGCGGCAGGGAGCGTGCGTCAAGTACGAACTGGCGAACATAACGCGGCCCAGTCAACAGCTGCCGCATGCCATAGCTGCCAACGACGCCAACTCGTCGACGGTAGCCTTCATCGGACCGGAACACTACAACCCGTGGGGGTAACACAAACGTGTTGTATGTTGCCACTACCTTTACACTGGTGGGCAACTACCGCAACAACGTGCCGGCCATCTCCACGCGTAACCTCCATGATCTGGATTTTGCTGAGCGCTCCTTCAACAAACACTCCATGATGACCATCGATGTCAAGTACCGGGACCACTTTCTGGTGGAGTACGTGTACGGCTTCCACGAGGGCGACTACGCCTACTTCCTGACGGTACAGAGACGCTCCCACCTGCCCGGCCAGCAGGAGCAGGGCTACGTGTCCAGGATCGTGCGCACCTGCGTCACGGACGCCAACTACGACAGCTACGTGGAGATGACGCTGACCTGTGGTGGTGACAACCTGCTTCAGGCGGCGCGTGTGGCCGAGGCCGGCCAGGACCTGACCTGGGACGCCGGCGTTCTGGACCGTGACCGAGTGCTGGTGGTGGCCTTCTCGCCTAGTCAAGGCTTCACTAACGAGCCCCAGGAGCGGTCCAGCGTGTGCGTGTTCTCCATGAAGGAGGTCGAGCAAAAGTTCAACGAAAACATCCACATGTGCTTCAACGGATCGATGCAGTACCGAAACATGGAGTACATCTCCGGTCCCGTTCTCAACGGACAATGCCCGAAAGCCGGGGTAAGTCGTCGCTGAAATCATGGTGACTGTTGGTCTTATTGTTGACATGATACGCAAACACGCGCTTGACAAGAAATCTTTGCCGTTCTGTGGAAGGTCCGAGTCTCTCTTAAACTAAGACGAATTTATCCTGAAAAGGATCCTTGCTCGTAGTACCTGCTCGTGCTCCTATGTACGATGGTTCCAACTTGTACCCGCACGGGAGCAACGGGGTGTTCCGGCGGCCCCTCGCCACCGCCACTACTCGCTGCCTCCACCTGTAGCTTGTGCCGATGGTCGTCTGCCAGACTTGCGGACCATGAGTGACGGGTCGTTCTCGTCTCACGTGCCGTCTGCCGGCGCGGACGTGGCCGCCGGCGTCAGACACGCCAGTGCCACCGACGCCTGGCAGCTGCCGACTGCAAACTGGCATAATCAGAGGGCCGCGCGGCACTTCGCATGCATGACCCGCATCAGTGGACGGCGGCGCCGCGCTGCGGCAGCGGCTGCGCCGCTCGTCCGTGATATCGCAGGTGGACGTGCTCTGACATTATACACGGCGTTACCGCTGACTGACTTGGGCGAGCGCCGACTGCGCCTCACGTCCGTGATATCGCAGGTGGACGTGCTCTAACGTTATGCACGTTGTTACCGCTGACCGGCGAGATGCGGCGGCGCCTTACGCCCGGGATATCGCAGGTGGACGTGCTCTAACGTTATACACGGCGTTACCGATGACTGGCGAGCTGCGGCGGCGCACCACGTCCGTGATATCGCAGGTGGACGTGCTCTAATATTGTACACGGCGTTACCGCCGACTGGCGAGCTGCGGCGGCGCCTCACGTCCGTGATATCGCAGGTGGACGTGCTCTAACGTTACACACGGCGTTACCGCTGACTGGCGAGCTGCGGCGGCGCACCACGTCCGTGATATCGCAGGTGGACGTGCTCTTAAGTTATACACGGCGTTATCGCTAACTGGCGAGCTGCGGCGGCGCACCACGTCCGTGATATCGCAGGTGGACGTGCTCCAACGTTATACACGGCGGCACTGCTGACTGACGTGGGCGAACGCCGGCTGCGGTTGGACGGCGCCGAATGGTGGCCCAGATTCATTCGGTTGTTGCTTTTCGGTTTGCGAGCAGGTCATGTCTGGACATTCAACTTGTGTGTTAATTTTCACTTGTTCTGACAATACGATTTGTTTTAGAGGTAGCACGCGTGGCTACAGGCGAGCACCATTCGCGACCAAAATTTATTGTGGGGCGCCTAATGTGGTTAGTAACTTGTCTAGGCACTATGGAATAAATTGCGCCTCAGGTACATGCTTGGACTAATGTCTGAAGAACATGGGCGCATTTATGCGATTTGGACAAGGGCATTCATCCCGGTATTTATAGCTTGGATTCCGTTTCAATCGGCAGACATGAACGGAAACGGTCGGAATAAGACTCCCTCCCAGCACCGGTCTGGAGCAGGGCCTGCATCAGCCGCCGCTTAGTGTCCCTCAGCCGGGAGGCGGGTGTGGCGTCCGTCTGGCGCACCCGCCCCTCGTGCTGTCCGGTCGTCATCTGACGGGCCGCTGCCTGCGTGACATCAGCAGCAACGAGCGACAACATTCTCCCGTGCCCTCAGCAGTTGGCCGGAAATGCCCGGCCCCTCCCATACCTCATGACGTAACCCGTGAGAACCAAAAGACGGCGTTTTGAGTGACGGCGGTGGCGTCGGCGATACATGAGTCGGTCGCGGTTTTTATGGCCGGGTGGCGGCACGCAGTATTGCGGGACCATTTAGTGGTCGCGGCGGTAGTCGGGCCCTGCCGTGCGAGCCAAAACCACGTTTGCCACGTTCCGGTCGAAACGTTTGCCTGTGCACCACAGAATGTATGGAGGTAACTTCCGACTGAAAAACGCGTGCTGCATTCGTTTGAAGTGCATGTGAGACATGCGATGCTAGTTTTTGGATTCAGTGGAGAAGTGGCTCCCTCCGACTTTCTATTGAAAGCGATGAAATCGGCGGTCGATATCCATAGATGTGGGTTTGCCTTTGCACGGCATGTCCGGATCGAGCTGGAAATACTCTGACGGGGCAGTGGCAGGCGGATATGGCGCGGTCAAGATCGACTACCCTTCGGATGCTTTGGCCCGACAGCGCTTGGGGTATTCGTCTTTCACCCGCCATGGCCTGGGGTGCAAGTAGCCTCCCATTGATGCCTCATAATCGAATCGTCATATGCAGAAAAATAGGCATCCATGGCCCTGCTTAATTTCACTCCAGGAACTACTGATTTCACATTCTTCACGGAAATGGTGACGTCACAGATAAAACAATATCTTAAAAATTACGCAAGCCTTCAAACGTCTTCAGGGCCCTTTAGCATCTAAAGGCAACTCTAAGCTCATTCACAGTGTAAATTTCGGTTTGTGTTTGCATGCCAAATGGTATGCCGATGGCTTTGAGATGGTATCTCTGGTATTTGAGTATACAGGACACCGCCAAATCACGTGTCCGATTCGGATTCAGGTGAAGCGTATGCCAGACAGATTTGGACGAGGGCCGGGATCCTGGACCTGAGGATCGCTATTCCAGGAGGGTCGATCCTGCGCAGCTATTCGGAATGATGGACCTGAACCGCGACACAGAGGTGTAGCCGTTGTAGGTGCTGGGGGACATGCCCCCCCCCCCCCAGTATTCTTAAACTTGGATTTTGTCCCCTCCAGTTTTGCCTGGGTAGTGAACGTTTTTCGCGTTCTCCCATTCAAAATACCATCATTAGGGAAGACTGTTGCCCCAGATGTCAGCTTGAAGATCTAAGCTCAGAGACGTGGTTACACCCATGTCCCGCACCAAACTTTGGTTCTTCATCCCAGAAACGGCGCCGAATTGGTGTTTTGCCTACGCTGCGTCATATAATTGGTTGACAAAATATGTGTCAACTTGAGCTGACAGAAATGGGAGAAAAAGTTGTGCTCGGACGCATAAGTCTGCCCAAGGAAGTGCTATCCACAGTTACGTTTGTTTGGGAAGTAGGTAAAGGTAGGCGCAACCATTCTTTGTACCTGCCGTTATTTTTTTCTCGCTCTCCTTCCAAATATTGACTTTCCGGGCATGTTCCGTGTAGGCTGCGAAAAGTCGTGGCAGAGTCCTCTTTCTTCTTTTTTTGTCGGTCTGTGACCGTACATTGTTTGATTTGCTTTCCTGTTCTTCTATTTGTTCTTTCTTTTTAAAATCCATATTTGCTAAAACCGCATCTGGCTGTGGGTACGTTCAGTCGCTGGTTATTTCAAAGCGTTTCGTAGACGCAAGGATGCCAGCATATCTGCTTTTAAGTGCCTTGGAAACACATATTTACCGTTATAGGTGTTATATACATATATAACACTTATAACGCCATATGTGCTTTTAAGTGTCTTGTATCATAGCATCAGTAAATGCCAACAACCGCATTTAAATCGATGTTAAATTTCCATTAAAAATGCGCCTAATTCGGGATACAATCAGCGTAATGTGCATCGTAAAATAGCGCGCACTAATTTCATACCCGTTTGATTCCCACGTTCCTCCAATATTCCCATGCTTATTGTGGTGGGTCCCCTGCCACTGGTACTTAGGAGCCATCAGGCCGCCACAGAACTGGAGACGCGGGAAATCGCGTGAAAAGGTCGTGAGAATACCGCAATCACATCATAAGCTGGAGAGAAATGGATCACGATCAGAGCCATGGAATTTGACCTCCGTATTACGCGGTCGAAAATGAGAGCGTCACCCAGTACGAAATGAGAGAGAATATGACGTCAGTCCAGCCGACGTGGCTTGCGGATTGGTCCGGACATGCAGCCAATGGTCCGACGAGGCTTGTTGTTGTTGGATGAGGCTGTTCGTTGATTATGTTTACGGCTCCCGTACAGTGTACACAAGGGTGCCTGGGTATGTCATTTGTCATAGTTTGGCAATACCCCCGAGTGCTCTACCGGTGCCGCGCCTGGCTGTTGCACTTTCAAGGTAGATCGATCACCAACAGGAATTCTACGTCGAGTCACAAGCTCCTGTGGAGGGTGCACTATAAATTATGCAAATGGAAAGCATTATCCGATCATTAATGGTACTGAACAAAAATTGTGTGCGAGTATCATCACCGCATCAGTTTTATTCGCGTTTCTGTGCGGGTATTTTGCAAGAGCCGCCACTGTGTTTGCAAAAAGCGGTTTTTTCAAACGTGCTGGTTTGGCTGTCTTATGCTAATCGTGCACCGTGAGACGGAGTGCACCTGCAGCGATCTTATCTTATCGCTCACCAGCGCTCCCAAGAATTTGCCAGCGAGCAGCAAACTCAGCGGAGTTGTCCGCTGAGGTACATGGGTCCTATTTTGCTGTTCTGGTACGCTGTATTTATGCCCAGTATTTCTTTTCACCACATAACATTATTTGACATTGCTTTCAAGTTATGGTGCGCTTTTCCGTATGAATCTGACACATCCCAGTCATGTTTAGGTATTGTGAGTTTCCTTTCGCGATTTTCTCGCATATCTAACGTGCAGGCTGCAATTGACGCGTGGAATGCTCACAATGCTCCTCGCCCGGTGTGGAGTGTTGTGCTCAGTCTGAGCTAGTCAAGAATGACCTTGAGCCGCTGGTTTCTCAGGACTGCGAGTTGTTTTGCTAAAATAGTCGACCTTCAATATGCTTGAGACCATGGTCACCACCTGGAACCGTCGGATTCTGTCATGATATGTCCCAGTGATTGCTTGATCCTTTCGCTTACCCATTATCTTCCGGCGTATTAAGAGCATGCGACAGGGTAGCGCTTGCAGCATTTAAACGCTAAGCGAACTTTTGCGAAGCCGTTTGCAACACTGACACCCAGCGCTTGCGCGTCATGCACTGTTAGTGTGGACTCAATAAACTGCACTCAGACGGGTGGAGGGGAATGCCAAGCGCCATGTGTAACGTATGACATCATCGAGAGAGCAACCAACAACAGAATGCGTCTGAGGGAAAAGTGTTCACCCTCAATGTCTGTCT